AAGTGTGCCTCAGTGGTAGAGCCCCTGCCTAGAAATCTCCAGTGAGGGGCTGGGGCGTGGCTTAGTGGGAGAGCCCCTGCCTAGAAATCCCCAGTGAGAGGCTGGAAGTGTGGCTCAGTGGTAGAGCCCCTGCCTAGAATCCCCCAGTGAGGGGCTGGGGATGTGGCTTAGTGGGAGAGCCCCTGCCTAGAGTCCCCTAGTGAGGGGCTGGGGCGTGGCTTAGTGGGAGAGCCCCTGCCTAGAATCCCCCCGGGAGGGGCTGGGGTGTGGCTGAGTGGGAGAGCCCCTGCCTAGAAGCCCCCAGTGAGGGGCTGGAGATGTGGCTTAGTGGGAGAGCCCCTGCCTAGAATCCCCCAGTGAGGGGCTGGGATTATGGCTCAGTGGTAGAGCACTTTGTGTTTTGGCCCTAGGTTCAATCCCAAGTGCTGAAAAAGAAAATTCTTTAAACTAAAATTAGGGCTGGAGAGATGGCTTGGTGTTTAAGAGCACTTGCTCTTGCAGCAGACAGAGGTCAGATCCCAGCAACCACATCAGGCAGCCTACAACTGCCTATTAACTCAAGCTCCAAGGGATCCAATGCCCTCTTCTGGCCTTTACGGGTACTGCTCCCCAACACACAGAGACAGACACACAAATAACAAATTTAAGAACTAAAAAGGTAAACATTTTTAAAAAATGAAAAATAAACTTCAAGTTTGCTCTTTTAAAAAGCCGTCTAAACAGGCACACCTGTCATCCACAGTCGCGGTTTCTGCCTGGGAACTTTTTCTTTGCCCTTCATCCTCTCATTTCCCAGCAAGCTATCGCGATAACAAACTATCCTGGCCAGGGGCATCACTGTGATAGGGATGGATAGGGCGAGGAGAAGAGGAGGCTTCCCCGCCCCTGCTGTGAGGATTGTACTCCTAAGCCTATCACACATCTGGTACCCAGCAGCTCCCCCTGTCCATTTTCCTGTGGCTCTGGGTTTTCAGTCCACATATGGCCTTGTAGGGTCACTCACCTTCTCATTCAGCAAATTCCTGAGAGTCATGCCTACTCAGTCTGCCCAATCCCTTTTGTATAGAGCTGGGGATTGAATCCAGAGTTTCACCAGGGCTGGGTAAGCAGCTCTATCACTGAGCCACACCCCAGCCCCTCACTGGGGGATTCTAGGCAGGGGCTCTATCACTGAGCCACACCCCAGCCCCTCACTGGGGGATTCTAGGCAGGGGCTCTACCCCTGAGCCACACCCCCAGCCCCTCACTGGGGGATTCTAGGCAGGGGCTCTATCACTGAGTGACCTCTATAGCATTCTTTTTCACTTCTTATTATGAGGCAGAGTTTCACTAAGTTGTCAAGGCAGTCCTTGAACTCTGCCTTATCCTCCTGCCTCTGCTTCCTGAGTAGCTGGAATGACAGGCCTGAGACACCAGGCACAGGAAAATTGGAGGTTGTTAAGAAATGACAGTACACACACAAGAGATTGGGGTGGCCTTCTCATGAGTCACTGAGACACATTAAAAAAAGAGGAAGAAGAAGAAAAAAGAAAAGAAAAAAATATTACTTACTTGCTAAAGTTTAGAAATTGGATGGCATCACTTAATGACTTAGGTGTCTGGCTGATCTTGAAAGAGTTGGCCTCTCTGGGATTCCCTTTCCATGGCACAGAGTGGTCCTACTGTGTGCTGGGGATCCTTGCTCTCCAGTAGCTACTCTGACCCTGTCAAGCATTCCAGCCACCTGATTGGCCCTTTGAGTGGCTAACATTTTAATATTTATCCTAAAACAACCTTTCCAAGACTTGGGGTCTTCGTGGGAGACTGGGCAGTGGTGAAATGGGGACGAAATTTTGCAAACTTCAGGAAAACCTTTTAAATTCTGCAGAATGAGGCAAAGGTATGAGAGACAGGTGTTTCCCCGTTGCAATGTGTTTCTGGTTTAAATGAACACAATAATTTCTGTCTTATTTTTGTATTTTGTTATTTAACTCTGAGACAGAGCCCCCAATGTAGCTCAGGCTAGCTTTGAACTCACTAGGTTGCCCTGGTTTACCTCAAACCTGAGCATTCCCTGACTTGGCCTTCTGAGTGCTGGGATTCCAGACATGCTACCACCTTGCCTGGAATGAGTGGTCCATTTTTTTTTTTTTTTAAGAAAATAGCTCCGGGTGGGGCAAGCCTTCTTGCTGTGGTCCCTAGGGGACTTGAGGTTCCCCTAGGAGACCAGGGCACAGGCTGGCACTGCGCCAAGCATTTTTGCCCATCCGAGGAATGCTAGCTAGATGGGATTCACAGGGACTGGCCTCCCAGCAGGTCAGTCTGGAGGAAAGTGGTAAGCAGAACTGGACAGGACAGGGCACCCAGCTCCAGTCTTCCCCAGTGGGAGGGGGTGAGGGAGCTAAACACTTCAGCCGGTGAGGGATGGGCTCTAGCCCAACCAGGGACCCGTGGCTTGTGTGGAGTGATGACAGTGTCTTAAAAGACCCATGCAGAATTAAGAGCAGGGTTCCCTGTCAGCCCCGGACCCCACCCCGCCCTCTGCTTCCCAGAGACACCTCCTTCTCTAGCTTCCTCTTAGAACCCCCATTTCTCTGCTCAGGACAAAGGGAGCTCTCACAAACCATGACCACCAGATGAGGAGCTACCAGCTGGATGGGAGTCCCCACCATTCCCTCACCCCGACTCTCACCCCGCCCCCTGGAAATAAACCATAGCTGTCCCACACTGCCGGTCTCCGGTCTCCGTTCCTTTCTTCGCCTCCACTGTTGTCCTGGGAGGGGGTACAGAGATGTGCTGGTGACTGTGGTAGCCCTGGGTCCTAAGGGCTTTGTGACAGTCGTACCAAGGAGAGGGACAGAGCTGGGCGTGGGTAGGCATACAGCATCCTCATGTAGCCAGTCTCTCTCTGTTTCCAGGTTCTGGTGTCCCTAGGGAACCCCAGAATGCCTTGCTCACATTAGTCACAAGGCAGCTCTGGAGGCTGAAAGGGGGAGTCAGGGCTTTGGGGGAGCAGGGCTTTGGGCTCCCGGCTAACGTGTTCCCCCATCTTTCTTTCACAGGGCCGCCTCCCGCCTCCCAGCACTCGGGCCTTACTCTATTTCCGCAGACTCTGGGAGGTAGGAGAAGTCCCACTCTCCAAAGACCTGGGGACCCTGGCCATCACGCCCACTCTCTTCTCCCTCAAAACAGCTATTGTCCACCTGCCACAAACATTGTCCCTCTTTTGGGGGGTGTTTGTTTCATTTCTGCAATGCTGAGGCTTGAACACAGAGCTTTTCACCTCTGTTACTAAGCGACATCCCCAGCTCCTTGCTCCTTTTTTTTTTTTTTTTTGCTGTTATTTTATGGTTTTGAGAGGGGATCTCCCTATGGAGCCCCAGCTGCCCTTGAACTTGCTAGCTAGCCCAGGCTGAGCTTGAATTCACTGTGTAACACAGGCTAGCTTGGAACTCACAGCTTGTCTTGTCTTGTCATTCTGAGCGCAGGGGCTCGGGGTGTGTGCCGCCACACCTGATGACTCTTATTCATCTTTGAGATAAGCCATCTCGTTATATTTTATCCCCAGCACTATCTCAAACTCAAGCACCCCCCCACCCCCCAATTTCCCGTATGCTGGTCTTCACCCAATCTCAGGCCACACCTGGTCTTTCCAACAGCCACCTGGCACCCTGCCCAGTGTGTTCTCATTCCCTACCCTTTGAGTTCTGGCACCATGGGCATGCTCTCATCTCTCCTTCTCCTTCCAGAATTTCAAACGCAATACTCCTTTCTTCAACTGGAAACAGATTGAGGTAAGGGGCTTGGGCAGACCTTCTCATTTGGGGGTGAGGCAGCCGAGCTTTGGAGACTCAGGCCTGGCGGTCCCTTGACAGATAGGTGGCTTAGTGACGTTCCTGTCTGGGTTTTCTCCTTTTCCACGACGAGGGAGGACACCTTCCCTTCCCACTGTCTTTGGTTTATGCAACTCTGAGTTGGGTGGAGTGGGAGTGACAGGGAAGCTGTGAGTCACCGAAGCAGGAGTGAGGTGGGAGGGGTCTCCCTAGGATAAAATCCCGGGGCAGGAGGCTTGGGACTCACTCATTACACCAGAGCAGAACCATGAAGCCAGCCACTGTCTCTGCTCTGCTGCTTATCCTGCTGGGTGTGGCCTGGCGTGGAGACAGCCACAGCTGGGTGGGTACTGAGGGAAAGTGGGTGGAGGGGAGACCACAAGATGGGGCTGGAGAAAGGGCTCAGGGTCAGTTCTGAAGCAATGGCAAAGGGGTACAGGGGAGGAAAACCCGGGGGGGAATCAGGCATTCCGGCAAGTGCAGGAGGCCTGGACAGCTGGGGCTTGGGGGGATGAGCAGGTCCACTGTGTGATGTACAAAGCCACACCTCAATGCTGTGTGACTGGTAGCTCTGGGAACCAGAACCAAGGCAAGGCTGTCGGGGTTCCTCATGCACACATGTAGGATCAGAGTTACAACAGTGTCATTTCTTTCAAGAAAAAACTAGAAATCGGATTTTAAATCATTTGCAACTTTTTTTTAAGAAGACCAAACAGAAAGTGTCTAGAGGCCTGTGAGTGGCCAGTTTGTGACCTCAGTGCCAGAGCTGATAGTGAGGAAGTGTGGCTCAGTGGTAGAGCCCCTGCCTAGAATCCCCCAGTGAGGGGCTGGGGGCGTGGCCCAGTGGTAGAGCCCCTGCCTAGGAGCCCCCAGTGAGGGGCTGGGGGCGTGGCCCAGTGGTAGAGCCCCTGCCTAGGAGCCCCCAGTGAGGGGCTGGGGGCGTGGCTCAGTGGTAGAGCCCCTGCCTAGAATCCCCCAGTGAGGGGCTGTTATCAAATAAGACATCAGCTATTAATGATGGATTTTTCTGTGCATGTGTGTATGATACACATGAGCATGTGGGGTAGGTGCTCCTGTGTGTGCAATGTATAAACCAGAGTAGTACATGGGGAGTTTTCCTCTATCATCTCTGCCTTTCTGCCTCCAGAGCAGGTTTCTCACTGAAGCAGAAATTTCCTGTTTTGGTGAGGCTGGCTAATCAGTGAGCTCCTGGCATCCTCCTGTCCCCACTCCCATCCCCTGAATGTGGGTTTGATCCTTACTGCCTGTATCAAATGTGGAGGAGCTGTGGAGTGTGCGCTCTAAGTGCTTCCTTGCCAGACTTCCCTTTCCTGGGAACTACCCTAACCCTGAGCTTCCTGGAGAACAGCACCAGAACAGAAGGATTAAGAGGCAGCAGGGTCTAGTGTGTGCACGGGGCTGGCTGGGGCTGAGGCACACACGTGGGTTCATCTCCTTTGTTATTCTAGCACCGTCTCTGCTCAGAGCTCCCAACCACGCGGCAGGTGTGGGGGTGGTCCTGTTGCCCAACGGCCCCGAAACCCTGCAACCCTGAGTGTGGAAATCTCTGTCCTGTATCTATCTGGGCCACCGGCATCCTCCAGTCCTACTGGACTTGGCTGGGGGCATTACAGGGGTGGAGAGGGATAGGCAGAGCCCCAAGAAGAAGTGGGGCATGGAGTGGAGGCAGCACAATGTGTGGGCTTTGGAAGCTGGCAAGGCCCGGAGGGCAGCGGCCAGAGCCACTGACCATAGCTTCCTTTTTTAGGGCTCAGATCTTTCGTCACTGCAGAAGAGGGCAGGTGGTACTGATCAGGTGAGTGCCTCTGTCTACAGGCGCCCCTGGAAAGTCCTGCGTCTCTCTCAGCTCCATTTGTAAGACTGGCTAATCTGAAATTCTCTCTTTTACCCCCACCCCACCTGATAGTTTGCTCAGCCCGAAGCAGCAAGACAAGAGGCGTCAGCTGTCACAGCCAAGGCAAGCTATCTCCTCCCCGGCCCCCTCCCCCAACATAAATGCCACCCTTTCTCCTGGTCTCCTACCTTCACCCCCATGTCGCACTTGAGGATAGGGGCCAGGGAGGAGGAAGGACCTGATGGGGTGGGCTCCAACTGGCCTTGTTGGGTAACACGAAAGAAAGCCAACGTTACAAGGAGGGGACAAAGCATGGGCTCCTAAGAAACCTGCTTTCTGGGCAAAGAAGCGAAGTGTTTTTTACACAATGTAATGCCATCTTCTCTCCTCTGCACCCCCTATGTCCTTCTGTTTCCCCCAGAACTACTATAATAGCCAGCAGGGGAGTCCTGGTTACAACTGGCAATACTATGCCAAGACCACTGCCAAGGTGAGCTTTGAAAAAGTTTTGTTCTCTGTCTCTGCTCTCTTTCTTGTTTTGGTTTTGTTTTTGTTTTTGTTTTTGTTTTTGTTTTGTTTTTGTTTTTCGAGACAGGGTTTCTCTGTGGCTTTGGAGGCTGTCCTGGAACTAGCTTTTGTAGACCAGGCTGGTCTCAAACTCACAGAGATCCACCTGCCTCTGCCTCCCAAGTGCTGGGATTAAAGGCATGCGCCACCAATGCCCGGCTCTCTCTCTCTCTCTCTCTCTCTCTCTCTCTCTGTGTGTGTGTGTGTGTGTGGTGTGCTCGGAGCAGGAAGAGGCTTGCTTCCTTTCTCCATCACACTGCTTTGTAAGGGGGACTCCAGTGTGTGTCATCCCATCCCATGTCCTGTGTCATTCAACACAGACTTGCTTCATAGGGTGGCTTTCTTGCCCTTTGTGGGGCAGCCGCTGGGGTGGAGGGACACCCCACATCCTAGAAGCTAAGCTTAGGGACTCTTTGGTGGGAAACTGAATTCTTCGAGCCTCTTTGGAAATTAAAAAAAAAAAATGATGGGGAGGGGACAATTGAGAGCTTGTTTTGCATAGCTGCAGACAAGTCAGTCTTAGGGACCCACAGGATGACTCAGCGGGTAAAGGGGCTTGCTGCTAAGTCTCACAACCTGAGATCAATCCCTTGGACACACATGGAAGAAGGAGAGAACTGACTCTTCTACGTTGTCTTCTGACCCCCACGTGTGCACTGCGGCCATATACATACATATGCAAAATAAATAAATAGCAGGCAAACAAACAAAAAGCCAGAAGGCAGTCCTCGGAGTTAGGGGCATGGCTCCCCTGTAGAGTGGCCATCTACCAGAGGCAAGGCCCTGGGCTCCGTTCCTGGCATTGCAACCGATGCTGATCAGCCAACCATTCAACCAGCCAAGAAATAAGCAAGGTGATGTTTTAACACCAGAGCGTGAATATGGTAGACACTAGGTAGGCTGGTGAAGAAAAAAGCCAGGCCCGGGACTTCCTTCTGCTTCTCAGAACAGTGAGTCCTGGCTC